TTTTTGCTTGCTAATCTCCCAGAGGTGTGATGAACAGAGACCATGAAGAAGATAAACAGGTTGCTTACCTGCAACTGATGATCTTCGAGTGGTCATCTGTGCATTCACACCACCTACCCTTCCCCTCTGCTTTCGTTCCTCTCCTTTTTATTACTCTGAGACTGATGGCAGTGGTCAGAAGGAACTGGCAGGATTGTCGCGCCCCTCCCTTAGTCATGCACAGTGGGGCCGGCGCGTGACGAGGAAGCGGGTGCAAAAATCCCTTTAGCTTTTCAAGAGGAACCGATCGAGGTTGGTGCAGGTGTACTATATCCCAGAGGTGTGAATGCACAGATGACCACTTGAAGATCATCAGTTACAGGTAAGCAACCTGTTTATTTATCCTTTGAAATTCTGCATGGCTTGGGAGTGGGGTATCTGAAAGACCATCTTCTCCCATACATTGCTTCCCAGGAATTAAGATCACAGGGACAGGCCCTCCTGACTGTCCAACCAATCAAAGAAGCTCACTTTGATCCTTGAGAAGGCCACCCAGGCCACTGAACGTTGTGATGACTGAGGAATGTAGGTAAGAAGATTGAACCGTCTCTGTTTTACATTTTTCCCCTTTCAGTCTTTTTTTTTATATAGCATGCTAGTTGTACAGGTTGTGGGGTTTCTAGGAACAGCCATCTGCATAAAACAAGCTGCTTATTTCTATCATCAAATAAATTATGAACAGCCAGTTCATCTTTACATAATCTGATTCTATGCATATAGGAATATGGCTTCCAGAGAAGTTCCTGTGTAGCAGCAAGACCAGGGGGTGATTGAGTAGTCAGTTGTCTGATCTACTGTTTTAGCTGTGTCCATTAATGTCTTAATAGGTGCCGGGGCTGAAGCTTACGCTAGAAGATACACACTTTGACCTGCAAGCTCTAATCCCAGAACTGTGGGGTTGTCTCTGGCTATTCAATGGTGAGGGGAAGACATTTTATGTATTCACAGAGTATTTTTATCTTTTGTTGTTGTATCAATGCTCCACGAGAAGTCTAGCTCAGTTGGAAATTTTGCACTAGATTCAACCCAACAAAAAAATTTCGAGTAGTGACCCAAATTGCCAGTGCTCCCTCAGCCATTGGCCCGTCAGCTGCCGCTCAAGGCTACTGGCGTGCCATTGGCTGGGGGGGGAGGAACGAGGCTAGCCACCTTGGCCTGCGCGCAGCTGGAACGGGCGGTGAGCGGGCGGTGGGGAGACAGATGAGGCCGGTCGCATTGGACAGCCGGCCTTTTGCTCAGTCACTTATTCCCCTGGGCGGCCAGGCAAACCTACTCAGTCCCCCGCTCACCCGCTGCCGTGCCGCCCACGCAGAGGCCTCCAGCCGCCCCCAACCCACCTTTCCCCCCTCAATCGCCATTCATGTCCCTGGCTAGCCTATGAGCAGGCGGGGGCTGCAGGAAGCCGCATGGCGCTTCCCTGCTGCACCGCGGCCTAGACCAGGGGGCCACGGGCCCTGCTTGGGGGGGGGGTTGGCCTCTGGTGCTGTTCCCTGCACCCCTGCTGTCCCTGGCCTCCTGGCGTGCCCCCACAGAGATCAGTGATGGGGGGAGACAGCCGCGCTGTCCAACACTCTGTCACACAGTGGCCAAAAATACCAGGTGATATCAGGAGGTCCAGCAGTGGGCCCAGGACATTTGGAGCCCTCACACTATTGACCCACCCCCAAGCACCAAAAATACAGAGCATCACTTGCCTCGGAGTCCCTATCTATACCTTGTGATTTTGAAGGTAGATAGTTTCCAGAATCCTCTATGTTGATGATGGAGTCCCCTAAACAAAAAAGTCAATGCTATTATTTTATTATTTACCATTTCTGTTTATTTAGTATTACTTATTGTATTCACTGCCACTCAGTACTGCCCAAAAAAGGGATATTTGCTTGTTTTAATTCTTTATTTCTTCATAACAATTTTATCAAAATGACAGTAACATGCAGTAAAAATAGTAACAAATATAATTTTGCTCAAACATGCCAGTTCCTCAAGGCAGTCTTTAAGAAACATGATGAACTCAAAATGTTTACCAACCTGAAGATCCTGCCTGTTCAAACATGTTCCTTTTGTCGTCTTCATCACAGCACTTCTCATGATGTTGTTTCATTCAGGCCACCAAGCCTTGCATTTCTTTGTTGCAGGATTTGCATTTTGCACGCCTGCCTGCCTTATCCACAGGTAGAGGAACTTCATTAAACTATTCCCAAACTGGATCTCTTTTACAGCCTGCTGCCATTATAGGTTTTCTCCTCCAAGGAAAAAGTAATATGAAAACCTCAGGCTATACACACAAAGATCCAAAGACTTGTGGAGTATTCTGCTCAATAGGTTTCACTTTCATTTTTACTGCTTGCCCCTCCTTCCTCACACTTAGGTTCTTGTGCGGATCTATTCCACTCCCATTCCCAACAATCTTCTATTCATTTATTTTTTAAAAAAATTTAGCACTCAAGAGGTAAGGGGTTGATTCTGTTTACATAGATTTGCAAAGGAACAATGGGATTAAGGTCTTTTTCTCAACTCTGTATGCTTATTTTATAACATTTCGCTGTGAAGAAGAGACATGAGGTCTCTGCAGACACAAATTTACATTTTTGAGAACTGTAAAGCCAAGCATCTGTGATAATATCTTCTAGATAGAAAAATTGCCCAATAATCTTACAGAAACCTCTGGAAGAGCATGACATTGTGAATGGATTAGTGGAATTCATTTACCAAAAATTTAAACATTGCATGAATATACAGCCTCATGCATAATTAAAAACTGATCCTTATTTCATGATGAATAACCTTTGGACGATAATGTATCTTAAATAGAAAACTATCTTTAGGCCCCGGTCACACGGAGCATTAGGCACGCTAGAGAGACGGAAGAGAGGCGGATTTTCCGGGCGCAATCTCACCGCCACATCTGGGAAGCGTAGAGCTCCTGTGGCTCACCCGAGGCTTCACTCCGAAGATGTGCTGTAAAAAACTAGTACCTCCAAGGTACTAGTCCCGGAAAGCGCGGGGCAAGGACGGGCGTCAGATCACGTTTTTGGTGTTAGCTTGTGGCATCCAGCGCCCGCCCATGTCCCGTCGTGAAAAGTTTTTTTTTTGTCAAGTCTCCACGGGTGCGCACAAGCACCCAACAGCGCATGCGAACACTTGGGTTAAAAAACAACACAACCCCCGCAGCGCCGCTTCTTTGCTGCGCCGCAGGAGTGAGGTATGATCAGCACCTCCCCCCATTGGCGGGACGTCTGGCGGGACGTTTGATCCAGCTGCCATGCGGTTGTTCGCTCCGGGGCAAACAGCCACGCCTCCCCCCCACGATATCCGGCTCGGGTGACCGGGGCCTTAGATGGATTTTTCCTCAAAAAGCCTTTTATTAAAAAATCCAATTTAAATTTAAAAACTGATTTTTAATTTTTTTTAAATTCACCCTGGTTTCTACCACTTCTGTTGGCATGTTAGCAGTGACCCGTGGGATGTAAAACCTCTGGAGTTCTGGAACGAGGGTAGAGTAACATATTTCAATTGATTTTTTAAAAATTATGCATATTATCATATGTGATCAACATATGCGAAGCACTTATACCACGTACACATCATCAACTAGGAATGTAGTAAGAATAATGCTCAGACTAGACCTTACATAACGTAATAGAAACTATATCTGGCAACACCAGACAATCATACTGTTACCTTAACATTTCAAGCAGGAGAAGAGTCTTACCCACTTCTGATCAATATAAGAGCTATGCATTTACAGATGTGAGTGCTTCATTGCTTAGTACTCTGTCCAGAACATATATGAACCACAATGGATTCAAAGCAGCAGCTGAAGGAATCCTGGGGTGAGGGATAGAAAGGGAATATTCTCAGATCCCTCTCAGAGTTGTTGTAACAATAAAATACATGTGGGGAGAATGTATGCCACTTTGCTCTTTCTGAAGGAAGAGCAGGATACCTTTCAAATAAATAAATGAGAGGGGCATGGAAATTAGTACAGAGAATATGGGCCCCTAGGATTTGGCATCTTCTCCCCCAGCTTTCAAAGTCTTATTCAAGTTGATTATTTCTGAGGAGCTAGTGCAGTCAAGCCCTTATCCTGATAACCGGTTTTGTCTGGGAAGTCTTTCTTCAGAGGCTTCCCTTCAAAGGCTCCTTTTTGTTTTCTTGTGCCCCTGAATATCTCCAGTTACTTCAGCTCATTCCCTTCTCTTGTCAGTCAGCACTTCACTGTTGGGTTTGTTTCCAAGGAAGGCAACCACTTCTTATGCTTGCACTCACTGACGACAGCTGGGAAGGTTAAGCAAGGCCTGTAGTGGATCCTTCTTGTTCTTTCCCAGATGTGTAATCAGTTTAACCTCAACTTAACTGACATTTCTGTAGGGCTCCATTTTGAATAGCAATTCAGACCAGCCAAAACATAACTCTTATCAAATTCCTATGAAATATTAAAGATAGAAAATAAAAACAAGAAATGCTCCTAAAATAGATCTTGTTTTCACTGTACAACCTTGATTATATCTACAAGCTGGCCCTTGGATTTTGCTGAATGCTCTCTCCCCTCTGAGTTCCAATGTCCTATCTACACAGACATTTTCTTTGTATTTTTTAAAAATAAATGTGGAGAATCATTTAAAACTGGACTGCCCCCCCCCCCAGTTTGAAGTTTGAAATGGCCCTGTTTTTACAGGAACACTGATGTGCAGATATTTGAGTACTTTTTCGATTACAGTCAAGAACTCCCATCAGAGAAAAGCAGACTGGCAGCCTTAAACAAAAGCAGGAACAAACAGTGCTTTTCTTAAGATGTTATTTGATGGCTTTTCTTGCCACTGCTCATATTTTATCCTTTATGTGAGCTCTTTGTAAAATGTTTATTCATTCATGTAGTAAATGTTTCCAAGAGTGATGTGTGTGTCTTCTTATTTTAACCCTAAATCGCCTGTCAACGTTTAACATTTTCTTTCCAGACCATGGGGAATTCATATGCAGGGCAACTGAAATCTGCCCGTTTTGAAGAAGCCCTTCACAACTCCATAGAAGCCTCTCTAAGATGCAGTAGCGTTGTCCCTAGGCCCATTTTCTCACAACTCTACCTTGATCCTGAGCAGCCTTCCTTCTCACTGGAAGGTAATCAAGCAGGTATGGCGTGTTTCAATTACCCTGCTTTATGCTGTGGAAAATGCTGGATGCCTTTTCATCTTGAAAAGCTTTCTGTAACTATTTCCAGTAGCACTCATGGGCAAGTATCTTCTTCCCCACCCTTGAATGCCTTCCAGATGTAAAACCAAAAGTGGAAGAGCTGGACAAAGAACTGATACATCGTTACACCCAGAATGGAAGCTTGGATTTTTCTTCGAGCCAAACTGTTAATGAGATGGATGAAGATGAGGATGATGAAGATATGTCTGATTCCAGTAGCCCACCAATCCCATATGCACAAAAACCTGCCCCAGAAGGGTCTTGCACTACTGATGGTTGGTTTAAGCCTTCCTTATTTAAATTTTAACTTTGATTTGAACATTATTTTGGCAAAAATTGTTCAAAACTAAAGAAACTAGAAGAAATACATGTTTATGATAGCAATGGAATATAATACTGTGATCCTGTGTGCAGTTTTATCTTCATAACTGTTGCATAATCTAAAGGAATTTACTGACATATGAACTGCATGCTGGATTGTGGATGTTCCTGTGTTCAAAGCTGGGAGAGAAGCAACAGTGGGAACAGTTCAAATGAGGATTGTTGTATATTATCTGATTATCGTACTATCTGATTCCAGGACAGCATTTTAGAGAGTGACTATTAAGGAAATAATTTGTGCTGGTCTTCCTTTATGGTCAGGGTCCGGCATACCTAAGGGACCACCTTTCCCCATCCGTTCCCCAGAGAGCACTGCGTTCAGTGGCCCAAAACTGGCTGGCCCTCCCAGGCCCCAAAGATGCCAGGCTGGCGACAACCAGGGCAAGGGCCTTCTCAGTGGCAGCTCCATACTGGTGGAATGAGTTCCCAGAGGAGATCAGGGCCCTGTGGGACCTTCTACAATTCTGCAGGGCCTGTAAAATGGAGCTCTTCCACCAGGCCTTCAATTAGGAGCCGCACCAAACACTTGAGAAATGACTCTGTGCTCTGGCCTACAACTTCCAGCCTGTGCTCGCCACATACATAATCGGATTAACTGGGCTAGTGTGAAAATGTCATCATGACTGCCACCTAAGTAGTACTATTAAGCTTGAAACTTCTGCTCTTGCATTTTACTTGAGTATTGCTTCAGCACTTTAGGACAACTAATATTTAATAGTTATGGTGTTTTTTAATCAATGATTTAAATTGTATTTATATACGTACTTTTATGTAAGCTGCCCTGAGCCTGCCTTGGCGGGGATGGCAGGGTATAAATCGAACGAATGAATGTATTTATATATTTATATTCCAATTTATATCCCACCCTACCCCGCAGGCTCAGGGTGGCTCACGCAGATAAAACACAGATTAAAAATCAAATCATTAAAACCATTAAAACAATTCGTTAAAACAATACAGTATTTCATATTAAGTGCTAGCGATGTTATTCCAATATCACAGCAATGGCAGTGCTGCATGAGTGCATACCATGTGGTGTTCATTTCCAGCGTTGATCTTACCCGACGCACACAGGCTGTCGATAGCACCAGGAACCAGGCTATACAGTTGTTACTAGTGACAGTTACTAGTGATGGTAACTAGTGATGGTGGCAGCTCCTAATTGAAATCCTGGTGGAAGAGCTCCGTCTTACAGGCCCTGTGGAATTGTCAAAGGTCCTGCAGGGGCCTGATCTCCTCCAAGAGCTCATTCCATCAGTACGGAGCCACCACCGAAAAAGCCCTGGCCCTGGTTACAGCCAGCCTGGCGTCCTTAGGGCCTGGGAGGGCCAATCGATTTTGATTCCCTGACCATAGGGCTCTCTGGGGTATATATGGGGAAAGGCGGGCCCTCAGGTAAGTCGGACCCTGGCCATAAAGGCCTTTAAAGGTAAGAACCAGCACCTTGAAGCGAATCCGGTATGCTATCGGCAGCCAGTGCAATGCTTTCAGGGCTGGCTGGATGTGCTCCCTCAAGGGGAGACCCATCAAAAGCTTAGCCGCTGCATTTTGCACTAGCTGCAGCTTCTGGATCTGCGACAAGGGCAGCCCCATGTAGAGAACATTACAGTAGTCTAATCTCGAGGTGACCATTGCATGGATCACTGTTGCTAAGTCGTTGCATTTGAGAAAGGGAACCAACTGCCTAATCAGCCGAAGATGGTAAAAGGTCGACTTGGCAGTGGCTGCTACCTGGGCCTCCATTGTTAAGGAGGCATCCAGGAGCATTCCCAAACTCCTAACCTCTGGCGCTGGCACCAGTGGCGCCTCACCGAAGGTTGGGAGTGGGACCCCTACCCCCAGACTGCCCCGACTCAAGCACAGGACCTCTGTCTTTGTCGGATTCAATTTCAGTTGGCTCAGTCTAAGCTAACCAGCCATGGCTTGTAACACCCAGTCCAGATCTTCTGGTCTGGAGCCAGACTGACTGCCCATCATCAGATAGAACTGGGTGTCATCAGCATACTGGTGACACCCCAGCCCATGACTCCAGGCAATCTGGGCAAGGGGGCGCATGTAGATGTTAAATAACATTGGGGAAAGCACCACCCCTTGTGGCACTCCACACTCTAGTGGGTGCCTCTGGGAGAGTTGTTCCCCTAATGCCACCCTTTGTCCCCAACCATGGAGAAAGGAGACAAGCCATTGCAAGGCAAGCCCCTGGACTCCTGCGTCGGTGAGGTGGCGGACCAGTAACTGATGGTTAACTGTGCTGAATGCAGCCAACAGGTCTAACAGCAACAGCATCGCCAAACCGCCTCAGTCCAGATGCCTCCGGAGATCGTCCATGAGGGCGACGAGTGCTGTCTCCGTCCCATGGCCTGGGCAAAAACTGGACTGGAAGGGATCTAGGATGGAAGCATCATCCAAGAAGCTCTGTAGCTGGGTTGCCACGGCCCTTTCTATTATTTTGCCCAGATAGGGCAAATTGGAGACCGGCCAGTAGCTAGCTAATTCAGCCGGATCCAAAGATGGTTGCTTCAAGAGAGGATGCACTACCGGCTCCTTGAGCACCCCAGGGAACCGTCCCTCAATGTCGGTTGAATGAGTCAGTTTTTATTAGTGGTAATAACTGTAGCAGTTTACAAAGAGCCTCACAGTCCTTTTTTGTCTTGCTTTAGAACAGGGGTCCCCAATGTGGTACCCATGGGTGTCACGGTGCCTGCTGACACCTTTTCTGGTGCCCACCAAGTGTTTTTAGAAAGTGGGCAGGGCCAGGTAGGGCTTTTGCCCAGCAAGGCTTTTGATTCACTATTGGAGATTTGATTGGCTGTGCAGATTGTTTTAAATCTTGCTTTGGCAGCAGCTGCCACCACAGCACAAGGAGATCTGCACCGTGTTACTGAACTTAAGCTGTGGCAATCATTTTGTGGCTGGCTCCACCTCCTGCGGCAGCTGTTTTGTGACCGCTATTGTGTTGCTGCACCTATTGTGCCATGTTAGAATTCCAGATGTGCCCGCAGGCTCAAAACGGTTGGGGACTCTTTCTTTAGGAACTTGCTTGGATTATAGACTGACTTGCCTTGTTGGAAAAAATAAGCAACAAAATATTCCAATAAGATGTAGGGGGGAAGAATTAGTAAAAAAAAATATTTTTCCATATTCAGCATTAAAGCCTTAAAGCCTGAAAATAAATAACCCTGTAAATAATTAAGAGATTAGATGCTGGAAAATTGACTAGCCCGTATATTATTAGCTATGTTTGGGAAGACAACTTCTTGAGGATTTCCTGAGACAGAAGTAATTCAGGTCAGGTTCCATTTCCTTGTTGTGGCTAACTGATGAGACTTTCTTCATCTCTTTAAATTGTATCCAGTATTTTCCTCCTTCTAAGTAGTCCTGATCCAGCAGAAGGGATTAATAGAATCTATCCTTCTGGATCTAGAATCATAGAATCTATAGTTTGTTTTGACAAGAATTGGTGATTCTGAATTTGTGTTATGACACTTGAGTCAGAAGCTGCAGTTCCATTACACACTAGTAGAGATGCTTTTCTCCCATAAAAGGAGTCTTCCCTGATGATGCAAGACATTTGTGTTTTGCTTTTGAGACAAGCTCCTTCTCCATTAGAGGATGGCACCTCTGCTAGTGGAACAGATGTGTGGGATTCATGTTACTACATAAATGTTTAAAACGTTCAAATAATAAGTGGTGATACTAGTATTAAAAACAGGTATTTCAAAAGTAATACTTTTGCTGGCAGAGTTTTGGAGCAATGGTGGTTAGGCCTTTATGCTTCTTATTGTACAATGCCTTCTTTTTCTTGCCCCCTCTTGCCTACTTTTCCCTGTTAGATATACCAGGTTTGATGTCCAGTTGAGAAAAGCTGTCTTTTATTTGTTTGAAGTATAAACTTCAAACACCTAAAGAGCTATACTTACAAATCATTTAAATATTTAATTTTATATTTTATATATTTGTTTTAAATATACCTACCTTTATTCCAAGCATCTTGATCCAAAGTCGGTAACAAGATAAAATCAATATGATAAAACAATAAATATTGAAACAACATACATAAAAATACGTTAAAGGTCACTCGAAATATACGATCCCATCTGCAGGGTATTCCCCGTTTCCCATTGTCAGGGTGCCCCCAAAGCTCTATGAAATAACATTATGTAGGCCCCGGTCACACAGCAAAGTTGCCGTGGGAGAGGCACGGATGGTGGGCGGATTATCCGGGCGCGATCACACCCCAACATCTGGGAAGTGGAGCGCACCCGTGGCTTACCGCCGACAATGCGCCTTAAAAAACTAGTACCTCCAAGGTACTAGTAAATGTTTGCCACGGGCTGCCTCTAGACGCCTGTGGTGTGATTGCACTGGTGCACGGCATTCCCCTCCGGTCCCTCGTTTATCCGCCGGCGCCGAGGGAAGGACCCGTGGTGTGCTGCCGGCACATCTGATTGCGTAATCGCGCATCAAACTGCGCCGGGGCAATTAGCCACGCCTTCCCCCCCCCGCGATATCCGGCCTGTTTGACCGGAACCGTAGTTTAATACTTTTGATTTAAATAGCTTGCTACTGCAGACAAACTACCATAGTACAATTACAAAGTGCTTTAAGTGGAAGGCTATAAAAGGGGGAGGCACCTTAGCACTACTATAAAATTATATGTGAAACTACAAGGGGTAAGTGAGCGGCTCTTCCTATGGTATTGCAGCAAAGGTGCAACATGGTATAGGCAGTTTTCCTACATGTATCACCCCCAGGCTTTGGTTCAGTTGCTCATGAGCTCTCGTAGCTGCCAGCTTTGTGGTTCAATGTTATTAATAAAAGCACCCAGGATGTGGGTCATTCACCAGCGATGACCACAGCCAGCCCGTGGTTGTTAAATATCCTATTTTTCTGT